GAGGGAGGGAAGGAATTAGAGAGAAATGGTGGGAGAATGAAAAAGGTCAATGAAACTTCAAAGTTATATTGAGACATATACGAGTACAACATTGCGCGCACACAGACACATTTACACACCCACCCACCCACACTAACACACACCCACACACATTCTTTTAATTTCCTTTATTTGCACACCATATTTTCAGTTATCTCATTAACGACACAAAAGAAAGGGAGGCTTGATAGTATAAACTGGGACAATGAGATTGAAGCAAACGCAAACACAACGAGGCGAACGTCTAGAGAAAGCTCAAGATGGAAGAAAATAAGAAGGCAAATTGCGTCGCATCCGAGAAGCCGTTTGCCCTTCAGCGGCTCTTCCTCAATATGCGGTAGAAAAAGCGACGCCCGCCAAGTTGGCCGCCCTGCGCTGCGACGCCTCCGCCTCCCTGAGGGTGGCGGCGACGGTGCGCAGTGGTCTCAAACCCGAAAATTGCGGACAAATATTTTTTCGTTCTTCAGTTGTTTAAAGTAGGTGGAATATCTACATGGCTAGCTCATGGCTTAGGAAGAATTCGCGGTAAAAAAGCCCTGCTTATGCAGTCAAATTAGCCGTTCCAATCTGTGGAAAGACTAGATATAAGTTAGATTTCGGGATTGTTTCGTGTTTTCGTGCGCGTTTACTGCTTTTGACATTAGTCCAATGGTGTAATTCATGATCATCGTAGTGGCTGTGTTCTTTCTCCATTGGATGGCGAGGTCTGGCGCCTATTTATACGTTGGCTTGAGGGATTTTAGGAATCTCCCACCAGCAGGTTACAGTCCTAGCCGAAGCAAGCTTTAAAGACCCGACTGGTATCCCAACATGTGAGATAGTGTAGCGCAAGTAAGATTAAGTGTGCGTTTGTGTGGTTAAGACGTGACGGTAGGAAAGGAAGAGGAAAAAAAGATCGCGCTGGCCTTGTCCAGTTTGCGGCATTTCACCGCGTGTTGAAATAACGGGAAACCACCGATAAGAGCAGCCGGTTGCTAGAATTCTCCTCCAGACAACGGCTGAATTCGACCTAACTTTCTCGTTAGTGTCCAAAATCCTGCCACCGTCGGGACTCGAATCCTACAATCTTTAGGCCATAATCACTGCAGTCATGTAAGTTGATACCCAGAGATACCTCAGTTGGTACACTAGTTAGAAATGAAAGGCTTTTTGGTTTCTGAAAAAATCAAGAATTGTTTTAAAAAATGAATTGGCAATGCGTTCTTACATGTTCTGATACGTATTATTAAAAGGCTCTCTGACAAGGAGAGACCATAGGCATCAAAATTGATGGATGGTGGGAAATTTAAAATACTATCTTTCTACCCCAAGAAATTTTTGGCAGTATTCTTGGATGGTATCAAAGGGAACAATGAATGAAATTCTCGAACATTAAAATAAAAAAAAGAATCAGATAACGTTAACATGCGCTCAACGTCACATATTATAACATATCAACTTATTACAAAACGACAACAAATTTTAATAGTACTATCTTTTATGTTTCAGGCACCTGACCTTATCAACAATAAGTTATCAAGAAATAGTTCCTACCAGTCACACAGCCTAACGCACACATCACTTATACAAGGCTTGCCGAACGGTGAGTAGTGACTCGACATTCAGTATTCGGTATTGACTCGAACCCATTTCTCCTAGAGACAAAAACCATAGCAAAAATTGTTTAAAAGGAAATGTGGACTAGATTGTCTATGGAAAGAGGGTGGAAAAAATATAAGTTTTATATAGTGTGATCAATTGGTCTCCTTGAATTGTATTGCCAGGCGTTTCTGAGGTTTTAAAATTATTATTGTGTCTTTTAATCTTTCTTTTTCTTTTCTTTTAATCTTTAAGCGTCAAAATTCTTGCTCCAGTGTAAGCAGAAACCGGATCTGAAGCATTATTCCGCGAATACATCAGAATCCTGTTCCCTTTTCCAACTCGCATATCTTCGCAAATTTCTCACTAATTTTGCGCCGCCAAGTTCATCAAACTTTCACGGTGTTCGAGGTGTCTCCGGGCACGGGTGGATCCAAAGAGAAATTTTTGGAGGGGAAATTAAAAATATTTTGATCGACTGTGTCATTACAGATTTTGTAAAATTTTGCGGGCTACACTCAGCTCATGCAGCGATATGACTTTGTGTTTTAATGATTATCCAAAAATATTTTTGCTTGAAATTTTTGCGACAAGTTAAAACTTATAGTTACTGAAAAATATTTGGGGGCGAAATTTCCCTCCTTTTACTCCCCATGTATCTGCGCCTGCTCCAGAGAATAATCTGACACTTTTTCAGCCATTCTTTACATTATTTCGAAAAAAATGTACAGGAGTTCTCGTTTTGAACAGCGCATAGCTTCTGATTCGAAGCAACGGTGATAATGTTTTTGGAATGTGGTCATTGGTGCTCGCTGCGAGCTTCTTCCTTTAACTGTTTATTGTATTAATCGGTCAAGAAAAGTTGTTGGAGTAGTACATGATGTTTTTGAAATTCACCCCACGTCAAAACGCAACCGAAATCATCCCAATCTTAAGCCTTTTGGGAAAGGTCAACTGCTAAGGTGATTATCTCCGTAAATGTAGTGCATGTTTTTATCGCAGGGGGTGGCGGTGAACTTCCGGCGCCGAACTATGAGCTCACGTGATCGCGCTACATCGATTTGTGGAGATTTTCTCCACCCAAGTATCTCCTACCCACGGCACAGCCCCAGACGGGACAAGCTCCAAGCGCCCGACTGGTCTCCCAAAATGTGCAATAGTGTGTTGCATGTGAATGTAAGGGCTGAGGAAAGGCAAAGAAGACGAAGTCCTTGCGCAGTGCGTGGCTCGTTTCATCAAAAAAATTGAGATATCATGTTAAATCTTTTTTTTTATAATCCATTGCAAACTAAACGTTCGATCTTTAAAACATCATGAGCAATAGGTTGGTCTACTAATACTTAGTAAAATAAAGAAACGGTTATTTATAAATGTTGAACGTACTTCCCCGGCATTCGATCGGTGATGATCGGAGACACCTCGGAAAACTCCCGATCATAAACAACCGGCTGCTAGGATTCTCCTCCAGACAGCGCATCGGCCGAAGTCGACCTAGCTAGCGTCGAAAATCCTGCCGCCGTCGGAAGTGGAACCCTAGGACCTCCCTGCCGGAGACACTGCAGTGACTTCATATGATGCCCTGAGCCACCGTTGCCGTCTACTTTTCGTCCGTCCACAGTGCGGCGGCGGAGGCGCCCCGTGGAGCACGCCCCCGCGTAATGGGCGCTACCCGC